AGGATTGCCACCATCCAAAAGACAAACAACAACAAATGTTGGCGAGGTTGTGGAGAAAGGGAAACCCTCCTACACTGTTGGTGGGAATGTAAATTAGTTCAACCATAGTGGAAAGCAGTATGGAGGTTCCTCAAAAAACTCAAGATAGAAATACCATTTGACCCAAGAATTCCACTTCTAGGAATTTACCCTAAGAATGCAGCAGCCCAGTTTGAAAAGGACAGATGCACCCCTATGTTTATTGCAGCACTATTTACAATAGCCAAGAGATGGAAGTACCTAAGTGTCCATCAGTAGATGAATGGATAAAGAAGAGGTGGTACATATACACAATGGAATATTATTCGGCCATAAGAAGAAAATAAATCCTACAATTTGCAACAACATGGATGGAGCAAGAGGGTATTATGCTCAGTGAAGTAAGCCAGGTGGGAAAGCCAAGTACCAAATGATTTCACTCATGTGGAGTATAAGAACAAGAAAAACTGAAGGAACAAAACAGCAGCAGAATCAAAGAACCCAAGAATGGACTAACAGTTACCAAAGAGAAAGGGACTGGGGAGAATGGGTGGGAAGGGAGGGAGAAGCGTAGGGAAAAAGAAAGGGGGCATTACAATTAGCATGTATAGTGTAGGGGGGGCATGGGGAGGGCTGTACAACACAGAGAAGACAAGTAGTGATTCTACAGCATCTTACTACGCTTATGGACAGTGACTGTAATGGGGATTGTGGGGGGAACTTGGTGAAGTGGGGAGCCTAGTAAAAATAATGTTCTGCATGTAATTGTAGATTAATGATAACAACAACAACAAAAAGAATCAGGTTCCTTAAGCCTGGATTTCCTGTCCTGCAACACAGCCCACTACATACGCAGGCATCAGTTGGTCCTCTTCACTTTACCTTATGGCACTCAGGGTTTGGGGAGCCAAAAACTGATACTCTGATTACTGCTATTGCTCTGAGTAATAAGCTGTCCTTTGTCTCTGACCCAGATTTCTCATGCCTTCTGCCAACATCCAAGAAACCTGTTAGTTTGCAAAAAGGGTCAAAATCTCAGGGCCTTCCAAGTTGTAGAGAGAGACAAGATGCAAAAATCAGTTGTTTCAAAATACTAGCAACAAACAATTAGAAAATAATAATATATTTAAGACATGAAAAAATAATATAATGATTAACAAATGTGAGAGACCTGTACACTAAAAGCTACAAAGACCTTGCCAAGAGAAATTAAAAACCTAAATAAATGGAGGGAGATTCACAGGCTTATGGATAGGAATATTAAGTTTTCCCCACTCAATTGTCCAAGTATTGAGTGGAACAAAAGACAGAAACAGCCTATCATTTCCATGAAGTCATCATCCCTTCCATCCCAGGACAATGCCCTAATGAGACTGTCTATTAGCTCCCATTACATGGATCCCAAGAGAAACTCCTGGTCCTCATCTTCACATTCTTTTCTACTCCCATGTAATCTCATTCATACAATGAATTCCCTTTCTGTGTTTATTAGCTATAGTTGTTTCTACAGAAACTTGTCTGGTGTAAAAAACCTTGAAAAGTCAGAATTTGTTGGTATGCTACTTTTTGTTGAAGAAAAAAGATTGTCATTGAAGCACAAGAACCACCAAACCTTAAACCAAGAGAGGGAAGGTGGTGACAAACCTACGTGATGACCAAAGCCATTAGTTAGTGCCAAAAGCTCCCCATTATCTATAGAATGGTATGGTTGATCCCTTCTCTGCCCATTTTACAGCATCAGTGCTCAGAGTAAAGCTCAGATATGCAATAGCTTTTCAGGAAAACACAGGTGGTATGATTTGAATAGCTGAAAACATTAGAAATGAAAATGGAAGACCGCAGGCTTGTCACCAGAGATTCATTTTAAAAGCCTTTTGAAAAAGCAAGAATGGGAAGAACTCGTATTTGGAAGCAGGAGCAGATGGAATTATACCTCCACCCTGCCGCTTGGTCACTCATGGTAAGGTCGGCACGATCTTGTCAGGACCTCATGAGATGTTACAATCTGTCATCTAGAAAGTGTTCTAGCAGTTAGGGATCACTTCTTTCCTTCCCTTCCAGCCTGCCCCAGATAATATGTCCTTTTCATTTTTAATTTCTAAGGCAAAGAAAATCATCCAGCTCCCAAAGGTGATGAAAAATGTGAACAAGAAATAAAACAGGTCTGGGATTTAAGAGAATATGGAATTTATTAGATATTGAATACAAAAATAAACCCATCTAAATAGGCCCCCAGAGAGATTTTTTAGTCCTCTCACCTTTCCCACCCCAATCCCATAAAACATTCCCTATACCCAATGGCTGGCAAAGATTAAAAAGATGCAAAGCTTCAAAAAATGACAGATGCTCAGCTTAGGAGGTTGCTGGCTAGGTCAGATGAGACCATTCACAGAGGGGTCCACTGTTTGTCCAGTTATAGTATGAGGTCAGTACCCCAACTTCTGGACCAGAGGCTGATGTTAGGGACTCTCTGGGCATGACTGACTGGAGCAGCTGGTTGGGAGGCAGACCACTTCCTCTCTGTTTGCATCTCCCAGTTGCTTTACAATCAAATCCTGCTTCTGCTCTGCTAGCACATGATAGAACCAATCCATGGCTAAAGGGCCCAAATGGGAAAAAGAGAGAAAGAAGTCTACTTAGTGGGTCTGCAGGCAGGCCTCAGACATACCCAGATCATGAGAGACCCCCACAGAGCCTCCATTCAGGGATGCTGAACTTCAGACCTCCCTGGTCTGGGATGGATTTCCAAGTCCAACTGCCACATCCCCAATAGCTTTTTTAAAGCTTTATTACCACAGCACCTTGCCTTCAGACACCTTCATGTCTCTGCAACCTGGTTTATGGCCTTGGCCTCAAGTTTTCTATCTACCTCTAATGTCCCTTCACTCACTGTATCTCCACATTAGCCCAAAACATATTTCTGTGATATAAATGTTCTCTCATTCACTGTTATATCCTTAGCAGGTAGAACAGTGTCTGGCATGTGGTGAGATGCAACAAATAGTTGTTAAAATCAATGTCATATACCTGTAATCTTCAGAGGAGGATCTGAGCTCTATGGTATAATACACAGGGACTTCTGTGGTCATCTGTCTATCTCACCCACTAGACTGCAAGCTCCACAAGGCAGAGTTCTACTTAGCTTATAGTTCCAATGCTCTGCTCAATGGCAGGCACAGAACAGATACCCAAAAGATGTAATACACCGCAAGCACCTATCAGTTCCTTTTTGCAAAGGAGCTTAAAAGATATGAGAGTGAAGGAAGGCTTTGGTATTGAGTTAGAGTAGTTGATGGGACATCTCTGAAGGACACCAGGATTGGGAGGTCAGCACCACTCACCGAGTTTTAGCTGGTGGAGGCTTAACTGCAAAGATGAGGTGGAACCAGCCAGGCACCTTTCACAGGTAGGACTTGCCATGGAATAACATCAGCTTGTTATCCAAGAGGCCACGGTGAAGGAGCAGCTCCTCCTCAAATGTGCATGGGTCCAGATACTAGGGAGGGCAGAGGGATGGAGCTGAGCTCAAGTGTGATCAGGCTGCTCTGTCCAAGAACACCTGTATTCACTCCCAAAGCTCACCTTTTCCAGGTGATCCAAATATAGAGGCCAGAGTCACAATTGAGAAAGGGGATCTTCCATGCCTTCAACTTGTTAGTGATGTACTTGTGAGCTGCCTGTAGCCGGGAGCAATTAGTGGGCAGGTACACTTTGTCAATCCATTCTGGATGAGTGGGGAAAGAAGGCTGTCACAGATCTTGTAGCAGAGATTTGCTAGGGAGTTCCTTACCAAATACTCCCTGCCTGGGCTTCATTCCAGCTATCTCAATCCAAGACTGACTCTATGATATTTAAATTGATAGCATCTTTACCCAACACACCCACTTTATAACTTAAGATATGAGAGTGAAGGAAGGCTTTGGTATTGAGTTAGAGTAGTTGATGGGACATCTCTGAAGGACACCAGGATTGGGAGGTCAGCACCACTCACCGAGTTTTAGCTGGTGGAGGCTTAACTGCAAAGATGAGGTGGAACCAGCCAGGCACCTTTCACAGGTAGGACTTGCCATGGAATAACATCAGCTTGTTATCCAAGAGGCCACGGTGAAGGAGCAGCTCCTCCTCAAATGTGCATGGGTCCAGATACTAGGGAGGGCAGAGGGATGGAGCTGAGCTCAAGTGTGATCAGGCTGCTCTGTCCAAGAACACCTGTATTCACTCCCAAAGCTCACCTTTTCCAGGTGATCCAAATATAGAGGCCAGAGTCACAATTGAGAAAGGGGATCTTCCATGCCTTCAACTTGTTAGTGATGTACTTGTGAGCTGCCTGTAGCCGGGAGCAATTAGTGGGCAGGTACACTTTGTCAATCCATTCTGGATGAGTGGGGAAAGAAGGCTGTCACAGATCTTGTAGCAGAGATTTGCTAGGGAGTTCCTTACCAAATACTCCCTGCCTGGGCTTCATTCCAGCTATCTCAATCCAAGACTGACTCTATGATATTTAAATTGATAGCATCTTTACCCAACACACCCACTTTATAACTACGGCTCAGGTGGAGACATCAGGCTTGTAAGTAGTTGTCTTGCCAATGGGTTTCAGCCCTGGGCAAGTTCGCTCTGGATTCAGTGTGACCAAAGAAATTGACAGCAAAACATTCTTGGGGTGAAAGGGTTTATTACCCGGCCTGTTCTCTGGCGGTAGGTCGAGCACTAGCGTCTCTGCCTCTGCTCTGCTCTCCTGCAGTCTTGCAGCTGTGCCACCGTGTTGTGCCCAGAGCACTGTGCGGAGCTCTTTTTATAGAGTCAACAGCCATGTATTGCCCACAGGTGTGCAGTGAGCTAGTCAACCAGCACCAGCTGAGAATCCTGGCCACAAGAACTCTCATTTTATCCACAGTAGTCCAGTAGGAATGTTCTGTTGGAGTTTACATACCTGAGGCAAGGAGTCAGGGTATCCCCTACTCACTGAGGGGATTAGTGCTGCTGTTGTCAACTGGGCAAGCAGCAAGTCCACACAGCTCCCCTTACCTTTTGCCTTAGAGTCTCACACAATGGACTCTGAAGAACCTAGACATGCTTGGGGATGATCTTAGTCCAATTGTTCTCATCATTGGCAGCACATTAGTACCACCTGACTAATCAGCACATTAGTCCTGATGCCTGGTTATATCTCCAGATCAGCTAAATCAGAATCTTTGGCAATGGAGTCCATACATCAGGTAATTATCACATGTACCCAATGTTAAGAAACTGTGTTCAAGAGGCTGGGAGTCTGAATTCTGCCAATTATCAAAGGGCCTGGTACCATTCTGTTGGACCTCTCCTATCAACCCTTTCCTCACCCAAAGCTGAAAGCAAACTGTTTTCTAAATCAGATTATCTGATTATATTATATCCCAACTTTAATTTAAATTCTCTAGACTGACATCTGCTCCATTACAGGGTATTTAAGAAAGGGGGCTCTATCTAAGTTTGGGCCATGGTATTACAGGGGGGACATTCCCTCTGAAGCCAGCATTCACCTAAGATCCATGGAGAAAGGTAAATCCAGTTACCACCGGTCTAGCCACACCAACTTGCCCAAATGGCAGCTCTCTTTTGATCACCTTGGAAGATGAAGTCAAATGATATTCAAGGTATCAGGGCATTTCTTTAATCTCTGTCTGAAGCAAGCAGGACATTAGGGAGGAAAAACTGACCTTCACATAAAGACAGATTTCTGTAGTTCCCACCTTCAAATCTTAGAGTACAATTAACCATTCCCTTTCCAGGCAGAGCATGTGCTACCAAACAGCCAGAAATTAAAACCCAGCCTGTTTTAAACCAGCACCTCCATCTTCCATCTATACCCTACTGCACCATTTGAGCTGCATCCTGCCCTCCTTCAAACTTCCTGTCTTGCCATCATTAAACCTGAGACAGTGAACAGAGTTTCCGTGTATTTAGGGCATGTCAGAGGTCCAGGCAGACCCAGGCATTACCCATAGCCATGAGGTCTGGCCCAGATGCCAGCCTGGGATGGGGCTCAGTACCTCTGTCCCGGAGCAGCTGATGCTCCCAAGATGTTGTGGAGGTAGTCAAAAGAGCTCACAGCAGAGGCCACCTCCTTGTTTTGGGTGTGCAGAGCTCCAAAGTGGAAGCCAGAGATGCCAAAATCCCTGAAGAATAGAAGTAGGAGAGGGAATACCTAGTTTGTCTGCCTGCTGCTCTTGGCTCCCCTTTCTTCCCTACCCAGGGATAAGCAGCTGGGGCTCACCTTGCTGGTGCCCCAGATCACATGGGTCCTGTTGGGGTCAGGCAAACTGGAGAGGAGACAATACAGTCAAGGTTGTGGAGAAACAGTTGAAGGATGAAAACTTTGGGTCTGTGAAGGGAAAAGAGGAAAGAGGACTTGAGATCCCTTCTTTAAAAGAAGGGCCTACAGGAACCAAAGTTTAAGAAACAGTTGCCCCAGTTAAGCCAGGAAGTTAACAAAAGGCATCCTGGGAGAACTAGATGGGATAATTAATAAGTGTCCACTGAATGAAGTCTTGGCCCCTCACCCTGGCTCATGGACTTCCTATAGCTGGTCCAAAGCCATCTCCTTGGCAGTTGGCTCTTCACACATGTAGGGCACCCACTGTCTCTAAAATGTGCTCACCTATTTTTTACTGCCCCACATTTGAAGCTGTTCCTTCTGCCAGGCAAACGCTTCTTGTGCTTTAGCTGCTGGGATCTATTCTCAGACCAAATACTACCCATAAAGTTCTGCCCTCTTTCTGTTCTTTCCCTGTGCTTGTCAAGAAGCTCCTACCCTGACCTTTGGTAGGGTTTTATCTTGAATTTGGACAGTATACTTTATACCCTGCCCTCAAGTTATCTAGTGCACAAAATGGCATTTAGTGAAGACAGTTGGGAGGAAAAATGATGCTTTGCTCATTTTTACACTCCCAATGGTACTTAGCCCAGTTCCCAGCACACATCCAATTAACTTTATAGCACATGAGCTTACCCTGCACATGAGCAGGAGCCTCATGGTCCTCATTCCCAACCCCAGCTAAGATCAACTCACCTTTCCACGCTCAGGACACTGTGGAATGTGATGGATTCATCAAACACAGACAGCATGTAAATCTCATCTATAATCACATGTAGGTTGTACCTGCAGGTTGGATGAAAGAGGGAGAACAATATCTAGGTTCTCTCTGTCTCAATTCACTTCCTTTAATGGTTTTCTCTAGATACAGATCAGATACTCCTACTGCCCCAGCAGCCCATCCAACGATTTCGAGGCGCATGGTAAGGGAGAATAGGGTGGTATACCAGAGGCACCTTTATACCTGGCTTGGAGGTACCAGAAAGGAATACGACCCAGAAGACATGCATGAGAACATCTTACATAACCCTTCAACAGTCAAGCAGAGACCAGTGGGAAGGGGCAGGGTGTCACCTGGTATAGTGAGGAACTCCCTCCCAGGGTCTGAATGGAATAGTGGCATTAAGTGCTCTAAGTGCTCGTACACATCATCTTGTTTATTCTCCAAACAGCCCTCTGAAGCAGTGTTTTTATCTCCATTTCCCAGATGAAGAAACTAAATTTATGAGATAGAAAGTTGATTCTGTCAACCAGCAGGTGTTAGAGCTGAGATTGGAATATAGTTTTGTCAAAATTGCAGCCCGTAACTTCCAGCATTCTTCCTTTTGTCCCCATGTTCTGCCATTAATTGGTCTGGATTAGTTATAAAGTTTGAATAGGTATGTGTCTTCTAGAAAAATTGAAGATTATCTATCCTAACTAATTGGGCTATTTCAGGATTCCAGAGACAACTGATATTAACATGTTCTCAGGAATGGGAGGTTCCATAGGTATACACAGGTCTGAGAGTCTGTCTTTCTTGACATCTCAGGCCAAATAGTTTGGGAAATGGATTATGGGAGAAAGTGCTTATGCTATAAGAAATAGAAAGGCAACAAAACTCTGGTATGATTGTTTTGTAGGTAGATGTCTGTACATGGGCAAAGGCCAGAAGAGAAATGGCAAGAAAAGTTTGGTTGAAGTGGTAGGCATGTGGATGCATTTCCTTCATTTCAACTCCAATTGGTCACACATAACTTTGAGAAGTTCACTGTGTAGTACAAGTGTGAAGGGTAAGTTATTTCTGATTCTTACTTCTTGACCATGAGCAATGGGAATCCGTTTTAGGGACTTCATCTAGTCTCAAGGGGGAATTCATTTCTCTTGGCAAATTCCAGGTATTCTTTCAGTGAGTCTCAGGAGTAGATCTCTCCAGAGGATTCTGAGGATTGATTATCATGAGTTCTCTAAGAAGCACCAAACATAACCAAGTGAATGAGTCCTTCACATCTATCTCAAGTTCAGCCAAGGATCAGGTCAGGACCAATTAGAGCCTAGGTGGGATCTGGAAGTAACAACTATTATACTACCCCCAGTGGGGAACAGGAAAAAGGTCCAGAGCTGCCAGAGACAGGGCTCAGTTCTTGCAGGGGGACATGCCCCCAGCACACTGCCTCTTCTGAAGAAGGAGTCCATATAGTCTTGGTGAACAAGTCATACCAGAGTCTCAGTACTCAACCCCTTTCAACCACCTTGAAGACATGGTTCCTTCCTTACGTTAAGTCTAGCCTCAAGCAGGGCTTGCTCCAACTTGTCCACAGTGAGCTGGAATGGGTGGGTGTTCACACTGGTGATCTGAAAGACAAACTCTGCCTATCTGAAAGCTTCCAAGTCTTGATTCCTCATTACTATAAACCCTCAACAATCCTTTGCCTTCGTACCCAGGGCTCCAATCCTACATGCCCTCTTTGCACCAATTTCTCCATCCTTCCCCCACTGTCATTTATATGGGAGGAAAGCAAGGCCCTCTACACCTTCTAAATGCCCCTAAAACATTCCATTGCCTAGATGGGCTGAGCAGGAGAAGGGGCCCCATTCTGACCTCACTGTCCAGGTGGACAAGAATCAGTTCACTTTTCGAATACAGGTGGGAACTAAAGATGAAGCCACCATAGAAGGGGTGGTGGTCAGAAAGGCCTCTGGGAGCAAAGGGAGACAAAGCTGTCAGTATAGGTCCCTCAGTCAGGCCCCCAGACCAGCAGTGCTACAGACAGAAGGTTAGTTTGGCGATCCTTCTACTTGGGGATTAATGCTTTGGGGCTCAGGCTCTACAAAAGTTATCTGTATCTAGAAACACTATTTGAGGAACAAAACTCAAGTTTCCTGTCTGTGTGTACATCAGAGAAGGAGAAAAGGGAAGAATATTGCTTTGAATGCTTCAGAATCCAGGGCACCAACCAAGCCAGGCTTGTAGCAGGTGGAGCCCTGGTCATTCAGCAAGTCTTGTCAGCTCCAGGCCCGACGTTGGCAGCTGAGGTCCACTCACAGGGAGGGCTTTCATCTGCCTGCATGGCTGAGGCTCTCTGGACCTGGGGACCTCCTGTGTTTTCTTTCCATCCATTTGGCTTCATTGATGAACTAACCAAGGACCTAGTCTTCTGAATGAAATGGGTCATCTTTGTGACTTACTCTCACCTATCCAGAGCTCGTTAATATCAGGTTCTTGTTCAGGCATTAAGAGTAGGATTGAGAAGAGATCTCTCAGCCACATTTGGTCTAAAACTAATTAGCTTTTTTTTTTTTTGAGAAGAAGATAAGAAATCTATATAGTCTAAGCCCATTTATTAGGGCTCTCTGTATTGGGGTTGAGCCCAAAAGCCCAGCTAATAATATGAGCTTGCTCCCACTGTCACCTGGGGCATCCCTCCTTGAGGACTATCATGTATTTCGCTTCCTATTAAATGGGAATCCAAATACCGCATTCCTGCAGAAGTGATAAGAAAACGTTCCCTGTACTTGAGGTGTAAGGCCTTGAGTCAAGATGTCTTTTCTCCATAAGTCCCAGTGCCTGTGTGCCCCTGCCCATGTGTTGCTGTTTCCCTGAGGGGAAGCAGAGCCCATTGACTTACCACCTGGATCATACAGAGCCATGGCCAGCATGGAAACCAGAGCACAGCAGTCATTTAGAACAACCACCTGGAGATGCACAGAAGGCAGAAGGAAAGCCCAATCCCGTGTAAGAAGGGCTAGTCCCCCCTACTTTCCTACCCCTGGGAGGGACAGGCCCCAGGAACCTCCACACTGAGCCTCCGCCTCTGGGACCCATTGGCTTCTACCCTGCCCTGGCCCTGAGAGTCTCTGCTGGCTCTCCTTGTCCCTCTAGAATATGCAGTTCCCCAAGAACACAGCTTTGTACCAGGGTGGCAGTGAGGCTGAGAAACTGACTCACGTTTTCTGGATCAAACTGGGCAGGTGCCTGGCAGTGTTAAGTCAGGAACCGGGCCATTTCTTCCCACAGGCTGTAGACAGAGCCAGAGAGACCTTGCAGCTCCAGGCCCAGGAGCCCTTTCTCATTCAGGGTCTAGACTTCAGTCTTTTCCAAAGAGCAAGCCATCCAACCTCATGGTGCAGGGCTACTGACTGAGGCCATCAACTCCCCAGGTGACACCGACAGTAAGTGCAAGGGTTTGAACAAAAACTCAGGCCTTTTGAATATAGGGCAGTGCTATTTCTACTATACCAGGCTGCCTCTAGATGATGTTTTGCTCTAAGCACTTTCTAGAAGTTGTTGCTCAAAGAAATAGGGAGGGAGCCAACCAAGAATCAGCCTTGAGTCCCTCTTGGACGAGGACAGGTGCCTGTGGACCAGGAGACCATAGATCTGGAAGCTACTTACAATGACTGCCCTCTCCAGTTAGGATATTACAGCAGGACATCCTCAGTGTAGTTCGTGTCACTCTGATTCAGCTGGTGATGGACAGAGCATGAACACAGCCAGACCAGGGAAGCCTAAATGGCCTCTTCCCGCCCTTGGATACATGTGGGCGTGTGCCCTAAACCACAAGCCCTCTCAAAATGGGAATGGGGACACACTGCATGCTCCTTAATGGACAGAGGCCCCAGTCTTCTTGTCATAGATTATACAAATAGATGTCTCATGGGAGGTGTTTGACAACCTCCCCATCCCTACACTTGAGCCAGAGGCTCCCTTGACAGCCTACCCACCCTGTACCCATCCAGAGAACACCTCTGAACAGTCAGCAACTCAGGTGCTATTCTAACACTGTTTCCCCACTCCCTTCCCCAGACTCTTAAGTCCCACTCCTGCATCTACCAGAAACTGAGAAACATTGCAGGGGGATGGGGCCCCAAGGGTGGGTCCCAGCAGAGCCTGGAACCCAGGTTACCCTGTCATGTGCCAGATCAATGCAAAGCTTATTCTCACTGATACAGGGTTAATGAGGCCCTGGAGATGGAAGCAATCTGAGATCAGTCCACTTGCCCTGCCCCATAAGGCCCCCTTCACATATTCCAGTAAGTACTCATCCCAGATTATTTCAAATGGAGATCTCACTGCCCTAGGAAACAATTCAACCCATGTTAAGTAACTTAAAGTGTTTGAAAACTTTCCACAAACCCAAAATCTTACAGCTTGTAGATTTCTCTTTAGAATTACATAAATAATAGTAGTTATATTATGTATCAGGTACCAGTCATTGAGTTATGTGCCAGACATTAAATTAAGTGCTTTGTGTGAGTTGCCTTCATTCTCAAAATTCCTGAGCAGAAAGTTCTGTTACGATCCCTGCTTTAAAGGGAGCAAAGCTCAGAAAGGCTAAATAATCTACTAGCTGTGTGACCCTGGTGGTAGGCAGAACTCCACCTGCCTGACTCCAGAGCCTGGATCTGTAACCACCACAGGCCCTGCCTCCTACCCACCTCTGCTAATTCCATGTCCACGAAAGGTCCTTCAAGTTATTGGGGAGGGGGAGGGGTACAGTCCCTTAGGATCCCACAGAGATACCTGACTCACTTGGCCTCCAGAAAAGCAGATGGCTACTGACCACACATCGCTTAGCTAGAAACAGAAGGGAACTTGTGACTCCACCCTCTGGCTAGAGAACTGTTGTGAACCTCCCTTGCTGGAAGCCTTTCATTGGCTTCCTATCACCCTCAGGATAACACCCAAACACCTCACAACTTCCTGCCCCCATCTGTACAGTTGATCACAGAACTCACTGTCCCTACCCCAGCCACCTGGGCCTCCTTTTCCAGTTACTAGAAGCCCTTCCTTCCCACCCTACAGCTTTTCCACATGTTGTTCCTCCTTCCTGGAGGACCCCACCACCACCAACCCATGGCTAGCTAATTCAGCCTTTAAGACCCCTTCCCAGACCACCCAAAGCAGGCATCCACTTAAGTGCTTCTGGAACTATTTCTAACGTTTCCCCAGTGGATGGCTGCATCACTAGACTGAGCTCCCTGTGGCAGGTCTGCTCGCCACTGTGACCACAGTGACTCCTAGTGTGTAAGAGCGGGGACTTGGCGAAGGCACGCTGCGGAGAGGAAAGGAACACAGACCCAGCTCTTCAACCTTCTTAGGGATGTGACTGCTTTTCTGTGCCCATTCCCTTATCTGTACGATGAGAGTGCCTACTTCATGGGGCCAGGAAGAGTAAGAGAGAGCATGACAGTCTGCAGAGGACTCAGTAAACCCTAGTGACGGGGCCCTGAGTATGTTCACCCCATTCTCACCAAGATGTTCTTGTCTTCACGGTACTTGTCTCCTTAGTAGGTCTTGTAGTCCTGGAAGCTGGAGTGGTATAATGCAGAGATGTCAATTCCACCTTTGGACAGGTCTTGGCTGATAAATGCAGCTTCCAAATCACTCAATTGGTCAGGCTGCCTGGGTGAGTGGGCCTGCTGCCCACCTCCAACATCTCCCTGAGAGTCCAGGGAAAAGCAAGGCAGGTGGAGCCCCAGGCTGCCTGTGGCCCCGGGCAGCAGGAGGTTGACCACCGGGCACATTAAATGTCTCAGGAAGGTTTCCTGCTCCCAGGTGGCCAGGTCCTGCTACAGCTGCCTAGTTGTCAGTGCATGATGTAATCCCCTGTGGTCTGCTGCAAATTCAGCAGCATCTCTATAAGCTGGGTGTGGTTGTTCTGGTCCACTCATCTGGCCCCTCATCTGGCCACAGCGCATACAGAGGGTGTCTGATCGGTGATTCATACTCTTGGTCTTTGTTTTGGCCTTAGGCTGCATGGAACCTGAAGAGAGAGACCTCCACTTCAATAAGGAGGCTCTCCCCAGCCCTCAGGCCCAGACCTGATCTCAGGCTGGCTCCTCCCACCTCCATGTCTAGTTTATAAACCCAAATTAGCTCAGGAAGAGTTACCTACTCAGTCAAAGGTGGGCTTACCTACTCAGTCAAAGGCAATGCCTAAGTGGCTCCAAGCCCAGACACTGGAACACTGTACTTAAATGGCATTAAAATGTGTTCTGAGGAAGATCCTTAGGGCCCACTTTGGGAGAAAGGGTAAACTGAACAGGTAGGCTCTGGGTTCTCCACCTGTGCTTCGCCCAGTGCAATTCCTGATTTACAGGATCCTAAGAAAGAAAAGGGATTCTGCTATGAGGAGACAGAAGCAAGCTGAGTAAATCATCTTGCTAGAATAGGGTTAGTAAACTACTGCCCAAGGTCCAAATCCAGCCTGCCACTTCTTTTTGTAAAAAAAGTTTTATTGGAACAAAGTCACATTTGGTTATCTATTATCTACAGCTGCTTTTGCACTACAATGGCAGAGTTGAATAGTTGTACCAGACCATATGGTCCGCAAGGCCTAAAATATTGACTATTTGGCTCTTTCCAGGAATTTTGCCAACCCCTTTGCTAGAACAAAACCCTTTGTTTTTGTCTGTTTTTCCATAATAAATGACCATAACAGATATTCAAAGCTCAGTCCTTCTACCTTCCTTCCTTGCATCACTTCCTGTAAATGCTTCAATCTGCTCACTGTGACAGCTGACTTAGACTTCCATCACTAGTAACCATGGGCTAGATACATTGTCCTCAAACTTCCAAGTCCACCAGAATCACTTGGAGGCCTTGTTAGACAAATATAGCTAGGCCTTATCACCAGACTTTGATTTAGTAGGTCTGGGGTGGGGACTAAGAATTTTCAGTTCTAACAAGCTCCTAGGACTATACTTTGAGAACCTCTGACTATTCAGACCACCCTTACATCTGAAAAGAAGTCAAAATGCTGGATAAGACCTCAGAATCAAATTAAAGACTCCAAGAATCAAACAAAATTCAGATAGCAAGAAGCCATAAGGTAAGAAAACCTGAAGCCAACAGCTGCCTCTAATTCTTCATAAGACAATCCTCATATCCTCAGACAGTGACCCTTCTTTTTCTAAAAATCTAGACTGATGCCCCTTCTACCAAATGCCATATTCTAACTCCTAAGTCACATTCCCCCATATACAAAAAACGTGGTTACTTGTTTTACAGGTTTGTGGCTCCAGCACTTTAAAGCACTGGATACTCTGCACAGTCTCTCCAAACCATGTTTGGTCCACTTGTGATGTTTCCATAGCAATCTATACTTCTCCTTAATTACACTTAATATTGTTACTTATTCTGCCCAGGTCAGCCTTCATCATTATATCCTTAGCACAGTGCCTAGCACACAGGTAACTAGGAGGTGAGGCACAACCATGAGGATGTAGATACTGGTGAAGCAACAAGCCGTGACTGAGCACTCAGGCTGTGGAAGATGGAGCAATGGCCAGATGAACCACAGGACAAAGCAGTACCAAGTCTTGACTTAGGATGCTAACCTTTCATCAGTAGTAACATACTGTTTATAAAGAAATTGAACAACATGAGCTCTTCAGCCTAGACTAGTCCTTTGTTCCACAAGCAAAAGCTTTTCTCTGGCCCAAACTTCCCCCTCTAGAAGTAAGAGGGTCATTTCAGTGGGGCCCCAAACTGCTAGAGGTAAGTAGGTAACACCATCCTTCCAGATGCAGGCTGTCTCCAACTTATGTTACTTTGACTTATGATTGTGCAAAAGTGATACACATTCAGTAGAAACTATACTTGAATCTTAAATTTTGATATTTTCCCAGGCTAGCGACATGCAGGACAACCTTCTCTCGTGATACTGAGCAGTGGCAACAAGCTGCAGCTCCCAGTTAGCCACATGATCCTGAGGATAACAACCAATATACTTATAGCCACTCTGGTCTCATAGAACCATCTGTTCTCCCCTTTTAGTACAAGATTCAACAATTACATGAGATACTCAACACTATTATAAAATCAGTGCTTTTGCCTAGCTGTAGGCTAATGTAAGTGTTCTGAGTACCTTTAAGGTGGGCTTAGCTAAGCTATGATGCTTGGTAGGTGAGATGTATTAAATGAATTTTTAAGTTACAATATTCTAAATTTATGGTAGGTTTTTAAAATTATTTTTAACTATTTTTTATTTTGGTATCATTAATCTACAATTACATGAACAACATTATGTTTACTAGGCTCCCCCCTTCACCAAGTCCCCCTGACATACCCCTTCACATTCACTGTCCATCTGCATAGTAAGATGCTGTAAAATCACTACTTGTCTTCTATGTGTTGCACAGCCATCCCTGTGCCCCGAACGTAATATACATGCTAATCGTAATGACCTCTTTCTTGTTCTCCGCCCTTATCCCTCCCTTCCAACCATCCTCCCCAGTCCCTTTCCCTTTGGTAACTGTTAGTCCATTCTTGGGTTCTGTGATTCTGCTGCTGTTTTGTTCCTTCAGTTTTTCTTTGTTCTTATACTCCACATATGAGTGAAATCATTTGGTACTTGTCTTTCTCCGCCAGGCTTATTTCACTGAGCATAAAACCCTCTAGCTCCATCCATGTTGTTGCAAATGGTAGGATCTGTTCTTTTCTTATGGCTGAGTAATATTCCATTGTGTATATGTACCACCTCTTCTTTATCCATTCATCTACTGATGGACATTTAGGTTGCTTCCATATCTTGGCTATTGTAAATAATGCAGTGATAAACACAGGGGTGCATCTGTCTTTTTCAAACTGGAGTGCTGCATTCTTGGGGTAACTTCCTAGAAGTGGAATTCCTGGGTCAAATGGTATTCCTGTTTTGAGCTTTTTGAGGAATCTCCATAGTGCTTTCCACAATGGTTGAACTAATTTACATTCCCACCAGCAGTGTAGGAGGGTTCCCCTTTCTCCACAACCTCGCCAACATTTGTTGTTGTTTGTCTTTTCGATGATAGCAATCCTTACTGGTGTGAGGTGATATCTCATTGTGGTTTTAATTTTCATTTCTCTGATGATTAGCAATGTGGAGCATCTTTTCATGTGCCTGTTGGCCATCTGGATTTTTTCTTTAGAGAACTGTCTATTCAGCTCCTTTGCCCATTTTTTAATTGGATTATTTGCTTTTTGTTTGTTGAGATGTGTGAGCTCTTTATATATTTTGGATGTCAATCCTTTATCGGATCTGTCATTTATGAA